TCCATGGTGCCCTCTTGAGGGAACCAGGGACATACATCAGTCAAGAAATTGAAAAAACTGCGTAGATCTTTCTTTTTAGCCTTAATTCTGCGCATCTTGAGGGAATCCTTAAGTCCCCTAAGGAAGAGCTCGTGAGAGCTCAATTCCTGTCCCATGATAATCACCTACTCACCGTTCCGATGTCCGCTGGGGCGGCTAGTCCAGCGACGATCAAGATCGAGTCTTATCCCGCGGGTTGATCACCCACGGGCTCGAAGCGAGCTCAGGAGCTCAGGGTGTGCCCGGCCGGGGCGTCCTCCGAGTAGGTGCCAGCAGCGCCATTCCGTGCCTCGAGCCCCACGTCGGGCGCCAGGTGTCCCGACCAGCGGGACAAGTAAAACGTGGGCACGAGGAGGACTACCTGCTGCTGGTGAAAAGAGAGAGAGAGAGACCAAGAGAGAAAGAGACAGGAGACACGCAGAATGGAGGCAAGACAGTGTTCTGATCAAGCCTCCAAATTTTATTGTTAGGCGATTGCTTATATACATAGCAAAGAGGGGCAGGCTGAAATAGGGCGTGTGGCGGCTTATGATAGGAGGAAGAGTAGTGGGTGGTATGAGGAGAGGAGGTGGGAGGGGTGTTGTGGTTTGGCGCGCGCGGGCTTTTCGGAGGACAAAGAAGAAGGCTTATATAAGATGATTGCTATTTTTAAAATGGCTCCCAACACATAGTGGCTCATGCTTTGTAGTCCTAGCCTTTGGGAGGCTAAGGCAGGTAGATTGCTTGAGCTCAGGAGTTCCAGATCAGCCGAGGCAACATAGCAAGACCTCATCTCTACAAAAAATTAGTTGAGTGTGGTGGCACATGGCTATCCCAGTTACTTGGGAGGCTTATGTGGAAGAATCACCTGAGCCCAGAAAGTCCAGGCTGGGGTGAGCTGTGAGCATGCCACTGCTCTCCAGCCTAGATAACAGAGTGAGGCTTCAACTCAAAACAAACAAACAAACAAAATAATTGAGACAATTATAGTTGTTCCTTGGTATCCATGGGGTGGGGAGGATTGAACTGGTTTTACACCTAACTTCATGTGACAAGTTGCAGTCAAAATGCAGCCAAAACTTTGTTTCATGCAGAAAATCATTACTATTGTATATAATTACCTTCAGGTTATGTTTATAAGGTGTACATGAAACGTAAATAAGTTCTGTATTTAGACTTAGGTCCCATTCCCAAGATATCTTATTATGTTTATGCAAATATTCTAAAATCTGAAAAAATCTGAAATCTGAAATATTTCTGGTCTCAAGCATTTCAGATAAAGAATGCTCAACCGGCCCCGCTTGACTGCGACCATGTTCTTCCTGTTCATGGAGTCGGTGCCCAACCTCACCGGCTTCACCCTCCTGATGGTGCGTCTCCACCTGTGCTGGGGCTGCTGCCTCCCCAGAGGCCCCTTGGAGTCGCCTCGCCGACCCAGCCAGCAGTATCTGTTGGAAATGTTGGCCAACTTGCAATAGATCTGATTATTTCTATGCTAAACATGTCTAAGATTGGATACTTATATACCGACTGTCTTGTGCCAATAGTTGGAAACAATCCATATGCAACTGGAGAAGAAAATTCAATAGAACTTAGTATAAATGCTGAAGTATATTCATTGTCTTCAAGAAAGCTAATGGCTCTTCAGTTAAGACCCATTTTCATTAAATATAAAACAAAGCCAGTCTGTGAAAGACTACTTTCCTGGGTAAAAGGCACCAGCTGTGCCAGAGTTATTGTGCTTTCAAGTAGTCATTCATACCAACGTAATGATCTACAACTTCGCAGTCCTCCCTTCCGGTACCTACTTACACCTCCCATGCAAAAAAATGTTCAAAATAAAATGAAGAGCCTTAATTGGGAAGAAATGGAAAAAAGCCCATGCATTCATGAAATAAATGGTTCTGAGTTTTGTATTCGTATTCCGAGAGGAGGTATCACAAAAGCACTCTGTGATGAAAACTGTTCTAAAGATATCCAAATGGCAGTTCTGCTGAAATTTTTTTCAGAAACGGACAATATCCCAACTGCATTAGGTCTTGTTGAGTATCTTAATGAATGGCTTCAAGTAATCAAACCACATAGTGAGGACCCCACAGCACCTTCCTTGCGGTAGAAAATACCAAGTTCTTGGAGATTACTTTTTGGCAGTGGTCTTCCCTCTGCACTTTTTTAATCTGTTTTGTTTTATACCTTATGCCTCAAGACACTTAGAACCAACACAGCTGTTATGCATTCTGTTCGAAAATTTGTTTATCTGAGATTGTATTAGGAAACAGATAATTACTTTTCACAGAAAATCTTAAAAAGAGGTTAACATTAACAAAAGGTATTTTTGCCACACTTCCTCATATACAACAGATGTAAATTTTGTACAATAAAATTTTATTTCCTACTTGGAAAAAAAAAGAATGCTCAACTTATAATTTCTAATATAATGTAAATGACATGCAAATAGTTAACTGCATTTTTAAAAATATATTTATTCTGCCTTAGTTATTTGTTTTTATTTAATTGTTTGTTTTTAAAAAATATTTTCAGTTCTTGATTGGTTGGATTTATAAATTTGGAGCCCACAGATATAGAAGACTATACATAAAATTCACCCTCTTAATGTGTACAATTCAGTAGTTTTTAATATAATCACAACATTGTGCAATCATCACATTATCTAATTCCAGAGCAACATTTTCTTAATTGCTTGCTTTCTTTTTTTAAAAAAATAGAGACAGATTCTTACTCTGTTGCCCAGGCTTGAGCACAATAGTGTTATCATAGCTCAATGAGACCTCAAACTCCTGGACTCAAGTTATCCTCCTGTCTCAGCCTCCCAGTAGCTGGGATTACTAGTATGCTCCACCATGACAAGCAAATTAAAAACATTTTGAAAGATAGAAATTAGGTCTCACTATGTTGCTCAGGCTGGTCTTAAACTCTTGGCCTCAAGCAATTCTCCCACCTCAGCCTCCCAAACTGCTGAGATTACAGGTGTGAGCCACCATGTACAGCCTAATTCCAGAACATTTTCATCATGCTAAATATGAGTAACACTTATTAGCTATCACTGCCCATCTCCATGCTGCCTCACTGCCCCACAAACGTATTTTCTTTCTCTATGCATTTACCTATTCTGGAAATTTCATATAAATGTAATCATACTGTATGTAGACTTCTGTATCTGGTTTCTTTCAATTGACATGTTTTCAAGCTTCATCCATGTTGTAGCATGTATCCATACTTTATTCTTTTTAAATGACTGAATAATATTTCACTGCATGGATATACCACATTTTGTTTATCTACTTATCAATTGATGGACATTTGGATTATTTTAAGCTTTTGGCCATTATGAATAATGTTGTTGGGAACATTTGTGTATATGTTTTTTCTAAAGACATAATTTCAATTGAGTATTTACCTAGGTGGATCATATGTTGATTTATTTCTATTATAGTTGTAGTTTCTCATTTATTTCTGCTCTAATATTTATTTTGTCTTTATTGCTGCCTGCTTTCAGTTTAGTTTTTCTTCTTTTTCTAGAGTCATAATGTAGAAGGTTAATGTACTGAATTGAGACCTTTTTCTAAAATAAAGGTATTTAAATCTCTCTAAGCATTGCTTTTATGTATCCCATAAGTTTGGTATGTTTCATTTTTGTTTTTATTCATCTCAAAGTATTTTCTAATTTCCCCTGTGACTTTTTCTTTGACACATTGGTTATTTAGGTATATGTTGTTTAGTTTTCATATGATTGTGAATTTCCCTAATTTTCTTCTGGATTTGATCCAATTTAATTCCATAGTGGACAGTGAAAATATTTTGTGTGCTTTTAATTCTTTTATATTTATTGAGACTTGTTACATGGTCTAACATTTGGTCTCTCCTGGAGAATACTCCATGTATATTTGAAAAGAATGTGTATTCTGCAGTTGGTGGTGGAGTGTTCTACTTATATGCGTTTTTAGGTGTTCACTTTTCACCTGGTGAAACATCATTCATCCTTTGAATCCCAGGTCCAAAGGATTTCTTCTGTCAAATATTTCTTAATCTATCTCCCTAGCTAAAATGTACAGTTTCCTTATTTGAATTTCCATTACTTTGCCAACACCCATAACTCTGTTATAACATTTATTGCAAGTCAATCTTTCTAAACTCTGATGTTATGAGTTTCTTTGTGCAGGAACCTTGTCTTAATTGTATCTTCAATTCCCTGAAACCTTACTTCTAGTAGTAACTTTTTTTGTTTTTGTTTTTGGTTTTTTTTGGTTTTTGTTTTTTTGAGTTGGAGTCTCACTCTATCGCCCAGGCTGGAGGGCAGTGG